TACGGATGTAGAAACTGCGGAAGTGCAATTTAAAGAGAAAATGGATGATGTGGCCACATGGATTCGAGCAACAGCGATCGCGAGAGGTCTCGCTCGCGTGATGATAAGCGATCGACAAACAGACTACCTACGTCAGCCGCAGCCCGGACCGAATGGAAATGCAAAACAATGGATGTCGTGATCGCTGCGCGATAACCACTTATCAGTCGACCGCGACTTCACGCTCGTGCCGACCTTCCGCGACCTCGTGGGTTTCGCTCGTCATTTCGTATACCTTGTCTCGACACAAAAAGTGGAATCGTCGGCGAACGAGTGTTCATGATCGACAGATCGGCCAGCGATTAAGTCTCGCCTCCGTGAAAACAGCTTCTCGGTGGACCTGGTGAACTCGAATCGATAGAAATCCGCTCGTTTTGATTGACAATCACCACCAGAAACATAGAAATTTTCCTGTAGGTGCGAGAAAACGATCGGCCTCACACCAGAAATGTAACCTTTTGCCCTTGTATTTTTGTCCTCAGATGTTAGAGTTAAAAAGTCCCTTAAGTATTTTAACTATTTACTTTCAGAAGATTATGTAATTATACGAGATACGAATGAAATCTTATGAAACCTAAAAATTATATGAATCGAAGAAAATAAAATGGGCTAATGAATCAAAAGCTAGTTCTTAGTGTGCTCTCTCTCTCTTTAGTTATGTATTATAATTTAAATAAATATAAACAAAAATGTATCAATTGTTTCGATCTGTAATGAGGTCGAAACGGTTCATTCAAAAAGTTGCTGTACTATAACTATAAAATTTGTAAGCGTTACAACAAATTTCAACTTGCGTTTGTACCTTATGACTCTAACAACTTACTGTTCAAATTACTGAAATAGCGCACTGAAGATGACCTTATTACAGGTCGAAACATTTGACACATCTTTGTTTATATTTATTTAAATTATAATACAACTAGAAAGAGAGAAAGAGCTAATTGTAAGAACTACGAACTAGTTTGAGTCATTAGCTCATTTTATTTCCTTCGATTTTTAATCTATTGAATCTTGAATTATTTTTATTTCTAAAAATTATGTTCCTTTTTTCTTCAAATTACGTATTCTTCTTTTCTATACAAAAAGTAGGTCAACAAATTTATTGCAAGATCTAGTCGATACTCCGAGTTCAAATTAATACAGTGTAAAGGGTTACATTTGTTTTCTGAACTTTGTATTTTTCATCTTTCTCTTCTTTTTTCCCAGTTTCCAATTATATACCAATTTCATGTTAAATGCAAAAAAAAAACATAATGCAATACAGTTACAGACAACAAATTTGTTGTCTATTAAATAGAGCGTTTACAGCCGTTTTTTTTTGTAAAAAATGGCCCTTTGCTCTTTCTGATTAAGACATTTATTTCTTTTCTCTTTTTAAACTGATGCTTTTTACTTTATTGCCTCAATGCACATTCCTATGTATCTTATTCTATACTGTCAATGATACATCCTTATAAATATGTACCTATATGTTAGCTGCCTGCTTGGATTACATATTACATGAGATACTGTATCTAATCGGCCTTAAACCAAGATGCTGGCTTTTAGAAGACAAATTTCATGATTAAATAATAACGCAACAAAGGCAATCTTTTCATAATTATCGTTGGAGCTTCCTAAATATTTTGATTTAAAAATGTTGGCTTTTGCTGCTCTTATCTGTCATTCTGGTATCACTTTATCAGCTTTGCTATCTTTAAAGTGTGAATTTATTATCATTTATCGCTTTTTGTTATTGTTTTGAAATTAAACAGTTCACAAATAAATTGCGTGAAAAATTTTAAAGACTTTAATCCCTTCGAAGGTGACTTGATAGAACAACAAGTTCTTTTGATGAATCTAGCAATTTTAATTTTTGCTATCATTCCGAATACACTTTTGAGAAAAATGCGTAAATAAATACATTTGCAGTGTTTATTTTTTTCATAATTTGGAGGCAACTATAACTTCAATAATTTTTTTATTTATCCAAATATCATATACATTCTTTTCGCAATCACTACTTCTTATTTTATTCTCAAGACTTCTTTAGGATTTTTTTTAAAGCTATGGTTTCTTTTCTTAATGTCTCAAATTGAATGAAACACTAATTAATTTTATTATTCGTAGACGTAAGAGAATTCAGTGGAAAAGAAACACGCCTGATCCAGTCACCTCGGATCTCCATAAACGTCGCAAGGATTCCACGAGTGATTCAGAGCGTTATCACCGCATGGAAAAGTGAAAAGGGTCGTCAGAGAAGTGATCCACGCTAGCATAAAGTACATCTCACGTTTTCGAATGAAATCACGTTTAAATCACGTTTCGTCGGCCGATAAGCCTGGAACTTTTTCTCGCACGAGCATGCCCCGATATGCATGGGCAGGGTCACCTCATTGACCTCGACAGTGGCGAAACTAAGATAAACGGGGATGTAAGTAGAACCGACGCACGTTTCAAACGTGATTCAGTATCGTGCCAGCGCTACAGACGGCCTTAGATGGGAGAACTTTTTTCCGCTTCTCGAACAAACGGTCGCGTCGTTAGATTATAAAACTAGTAAAAATTAACCAAAATTAATTTTTTTAGCCTAGTGAACGCTCCGAATCGAATAACATAATAGATTATTGCTGAAAAACTTTGAGTGATTTTTTTTAAATTTTAATCACAGTTTCGAGAATAAACTTTGAATATACAATTCGTAAAATTTTGTATTATAGCGAATATTCGAGATTCGATAGTAAATACAAATTTCCGCATTGTTATACTATCATGGAAGCTCTAGGAACTGTAAGTATTTCGAATTATGAATAATTTTTAAAAGTTAGATTTATGCATTGAATTTATTTCATATAAATCTGTATTTTAAAGGTAAAAAAATCGTAGCTCCATTATTAGAAATTTAGAGAAAACAGGATTCAAAGTTTATTATTTTTATGAAAATTTCCAATACGACTTTTTCTAAATTTATTATCTTAAAAACTAGTAATAATGGACATAAGACCTTTACCATTATACAATTTAAATCTGATATATTGGAAAAAGTATTAACCCTATTTTAACAAAAACTCGAGATACGATTCTTTACCTCTAAGGTACAGATATTTGTTAAATGTTGCACGTACAATAGATAAAAGAAATATTTGTAAACTCCATCTCTTTTAAGATATTTTCACCCCCAAAAAATATTATTGCTATAAAATATTTTACTCAATACTATAAATGAAAAAATATATATAATATAATATGTTGTTGGAAACGCTTTTCAACAATATTCTTTTCTGATGCAACAATATTCTTTCTTTGATAATTATCCCACAAGAGATAAGATATGCAGGTACTTTTTTTAACCTATATTATATATCTTTAAACGCATACGTCTTATTTTTATCATTTTTGCAATGATGGAACCGAATGGAAAGCTCTATCGTTGCACAATATATTGAAACGCTTCTCTAAAAAAATATTATTTTTTTCTATTCGTGAAATTGGAATATAATTATTTTATCATATTATATAACATATTCGTAACAAATTATCATTAGTCTAGAAGCTCGTTTAAAAATAAAAAGGTAACGCAATTGCCAGCTGTCTCATAAATGAGTTTTCGTTAATATCGCCCTGTGTGATTTTTCGCATTGCAAAAGATTCGCCATCATGACCGCAGGCCTCCCGCGAAGGAAGAATTGACAAACAAAAATAAGGCGAGCAATAAATCGTCAGACATTTTATTAATAAACATATATCATCCGATACATGCGCGGATGACAAATTTACGTCAAAAGAAGTTTATCTGATGAAACCCTGTTTTTGTCTTCGCTTATCAGCAGAAAGTAGAAAACAAATGGGTCCCCTGTGGCGCGAGACACTCACATCGTTAAGTGTTAACATAAAAATCGCGTGATGTTCGCGCTATTAGAGAAATCCGTGTGCGCAATTAACATATCAGCTTCTTGTGAAAAAAATAACTGTTTACCACGCGGCGATAATCCCGGGTCAAGTTATGACGATAACTATTGATATCGTGCACTCGGCCGAGATCTTTCGCCGCACGTGAGCGAACTCGTGTGACGAGAAATATAATCCGTAATAATCGCTCACGACGATTGAGCTTCGCCCTGAGGTCCAATAGACCAGCTCGCATGCGTCTGGTAATCTTCGAATAAGTTTCCGACCTCCGACTTGTTTTCACTGGAAGGAAATGGAAGGAAATCGAAGGATTGATACAGGGATGGCGTAACACACTAACAAAGGAATCTCGAAAAATTGAAAATTCTGATTTTGATGAAACTTTACACACATGTAGGAGAAAAGGGGATAGACGAATTTAGAAATTTTCAGTTGCAGCCCAAAAACGATTCTAAGAGGTAAAACCATCTTTCATATATATAGAGCTTTTTGCTTTTCTGATATATCTCGGAAAGTATTCAAGAGATAAAAAAAATGTTTTATACAAAAGTTTTATGAATACCTCTATTTAACTACATTAATAATATTTTTTAAAAATATTTTCAAAATATTGTTAGTGTAGTTAAACAGAGGTGTTCTTATATATATACCATAAAACTTTTGTATAAAACATTTTTTAATATCTCGAGTACTTTTTGAGGCTGCATTTGGGGAGCGCGCTATTAGCGTTATTTGCTTATTATATCCTTATTTTACACCTAATAAGCGATAAAGTTAGAATGATGCAATAGCGCTAATAGCGTGCTCACCGAATGCAGCCTTCGTATCATGCAGTATTCGACCCGGTTTTACCCCTTAAAATCGTTTTCGGGCCGCACCTAAATAAATTCATTTATTTACGAATTCTACATGTGTATAAAGTTTCGTCAAAATCAGAATTTTCGGGTTTGCGCGGTTTCCTTGTGAGCGACTTAATAAGCACGATACGAGGGTGCTATTTTTTTAGAAGCGCTTAATGTCGCGTATGTTGTATAATTTGTACTACGTTTACGCGAGCGTTACTTCTGTAGTAACTTACGATAATTCCTTCGCGTAAACGGGATTTTGTAGTAACTTACGATAATTTACTCCGCGTAAACGAGTGAATTATCGTAAGTTACTACAGAAGTAACGCTCGCGTAAACGTAGTATTGTATAGGTACAATGAAATTGAAACTTTTTTTGTCGATAAATTCTGAAATGTACAAAAGTCGTAAAATTACTGGACTTTGCAGCACTATCGATGCAATGAGCAATTATGATTCGCGACTCTTATGCATTCCGAAATTTTTCAAAAGAAATTGTCTCAATCACCTAGTAATACCTTAATGTATGTACGTGTGTTTTGTGATTTTTGGCCTTCGAATTCAATAATCTTCTTTTATAAGATCTATTTTCTTTCAGATTGAACGATTGCCCGCGAGAGATATATGCGGTGGTGGATAGTCAAATATAACACTGCCTGATTTTCTGATTATTTTCCAATTTGAGAGATCAAATTTAATCTTTTTTCAAATTTAAGAAATTTAATAAATTTATATTTTAACCAATAAGTAGTAATTATTAGAAGATGTACATAATACGAGTAGATAATATTTTTAAATTTAATAATATTAGATAGTTAATTTAGATACAAACGTAGTAGAAACCAATTTTTGGAAAAATATATTGTACAAAACTTATTTAGTATTTACTTATTCAGTTTATATTTAATAATTTTTTAGTTTGGTTATTGATAGTCTTTTTGCAATATTTATCTTCTAAATTAATCTATTTTCTGTAATTAATAATAAAGTAGGCTGAGGAAGAGCGTGGCCTAGTAGACAGCGCACTAGTCTATTGAACTGAAGTCCCGGGTTCAATTCTCGGCAGAGCCAAAATTATATTCGCTCGTTCTCCTCTCGGAAAGCAATGGCAAACCACCGAGAGTATGTCTTGCCAAGAACGCTTCTCTAAAAAATTATAGCCGTTTGGAATCGGCGTTAAACTATAGGTCCTATATACAATGTGTATAATCCACGTGCGCAACACATGTACATGAAGAGAAGCCACCACGCTCGGATACGAGAAGGGGAGACCGGGGCTATGTGTCCACACCTTATGCTTTTTACAAGTTTACTAAAAAACTAATAAAGATATTTAGCTAAAATTTTAATGGTATAACCTTTTAACCTTGCTATTAAAAAAAAGCATAATTAGAATCGTTGATCTTTTAACATTTTAAAGAGGCGAATTTTTTAAGTGGACAAGTCAAGCGTAGACAGTAGCCCCATATGTCCACATTCGAGGGGCTATCTGTCCACACAATAAAAAACACATTATTTATATTAATTTTTATACTTATTTATAATATTATTTATTATTAATATATAATATCGAAAAAACTGCCTAGTCGTTGGAGTCAGAGAAGTAGGTACTTTGTGTAGATTTTTTGACAAGTTTCCTGCGTAGAGCTGACTTTTCTTTATATACGGTGGCATCAAACTGATTTGGAGTCTGTTGCAAAATCAATGTGATGAGTTTCTTTTGTTCCCTCAATTTTTTAATATTTTTTTTATTTGGGAACCTTTACTTTACCCTCGGCAGCGTTTGAAATACAAAATACTTAATAATTTAAGATAAAATCATATATTTAACTTGACGTATATTTTTAAAATAAAAAATTGGTGACGATTCTTGAATCGCAGGATCAAGTAATTGCTCGTAGGTCACTTTTTTACAGTAGCGAGTGAGCCCGAACATTTATTCCAAAGTCTAACGCTGTTTTTACGAAAAAATTCTCGCTTAATTTTGATTCTTTTAATCGCTCTAAATATAATTTTATTGGATATGTCTACCTTATCCGTCTTAAGGAAAGTTTTTTTTTTTGTAGTTACGCACCATTATTTATTTATAAAAGAACAATTCGTCATTGAAGCGTGAACACATTGCCCCATCAAAAATAGGACAGATAGCCCCGACCACGTTTTTCAGTCTTTAACATATTGCCAATTTTAGATAATGCGGAATTAAGATTTGACGCTTCTCACACCTGATAACTATGTATTAATTGATAATACTATGAATTGCTTACTTTAATTGGAGTTAAACTACTGTCGCACAGCAAATTTTTCGACCGTCGAAAAATATGATTAATTGTTTTCGCTTTTCTTTTAACTTATATAACGTCTGCGAGAGGCATCGCAAAAAAAAACAAAACATTTAAATTTCTTACGTAGGGCATTTTTCAACTACTTGTTACAATGGTAGAGACATCTGTCTCTTAAAATTTGAGATAGCAGTACTGTGGACACAGCCCCCGTAGACAAATAGTCCCGGCCTCCCCTAATAGGACTGAGGATGGAGGCTGAGGAAGTTTCATGAACTTTTAAAATTAAAAGATTTCGCCAATTTAAATATTCTTTCAAATCAAACGACGAATTGATATCTCTTGTAGAATAATAAAATAAACAATTTACAATAAAAGCAGTATATACTATTAAATTA